CTTTTGGAAACAGCCTCTGTACTCTCTAGTAGGGGTAAGGTCTACTTACCAACACCCTCCCCAGATCCCACATTGTGAGATTCTACTGGGTTGTTGTTGTATTGGTCATTACAAATGCAATTGTGTTCTAACAATGATACTACTTTGTATTAGTCATTTTTCCAAAGAATATTTTTTTTGCAAACTAAATTTTGGACCTTGTTTGATAAACATTTTTTTGTTTTTATTCAAACTATGGGCACATCTTACTGCATTGCCTCCTCTTAAATGTAATACTTCCTTTTCAAACTTTTTTGTCCCAATAATTTTTTTTCTGTAATCACTGTTTTTTTCCTATACACACACACACACACACACACACACACACACATACATATGGGATTGACTCCAGTGAGATGACACCTTACGGTGAGATGACATGCTTCGGTCAGATGATACAAAGCTCACCACTGGCCACTGCAAAGCTCACCAAAGACAACTACAAAGCTCACCAAACTGTAAGGCAAAACTCACCATATTTATTTAACACTTTGAATTTTTTTTGAAAAAATAAAATCAAAGGAAGGGGTGCTGACTGGACTTTGACTGTTGACCACCAGCATTGACCGCCGCCTCCGCCGCCGTCGGACTCCGGAATCCACCACCGGCCACCGTCACCGGAATCCGGAAGCCACCGCCGGCTGCCGCCGGACTCCGGCCACCACCGCCGGACGCCGAGATCCGGCAGCCACTGCCGGCCGTCGCCGCCGGACTCCGGCAGCCACTCCGGCCGCCGCATTTTTAATTAATTTTTAAATTTTCAAAAATTTTAAAAAAAGTGAGTTTTGGTGTTCAAAGTGGTGAGCTTTGATTTATTTCCAGGTGAGCTTTGCATTGTCCATTGGTGAGCTTTCTAGTGTAGTGTGGTGAGCTTTGCGTCATCTGACCAAAGCATGTCATATCACCGTAAGGTGTCATCTCACTGGAGTCAATCCCTATATATATATAATGTACTATAGCATCAACTGTTTTTTATTTACTCAGGAAATGTTTCTCTCTTCAAGGTGTATCAGAAACTGTGGTTCAAGAGATTAAGAAGATTCTTCTGGCTCATCCAATGGTTGTCCTAAGTACCAAAACCGTGAGTATAGAGGATAAATACACATCAAATGAAATTGTAAGGTAGGGGATTTTAGAGGACAGGTCTTTTTTTCTGTTTGGTTAATTTTGGAATCAAGTAAGAGCTTTTTCGTAAGAGGGATATTTATGCCTTTGTTTAAAGGATAATTCTTAGGAGTATGCTCACTTCATTTGATGATAATTTGAAGAACTCAGACATGCAAAACTATTTTGAATTAAATTCTTCATTCATTGATTTAGAATCTTCTGGGATGCAACCGTGCAAGGCAGATTTTTCTTCTGAATATGATTTTTGAACTCTTTACAGGAATGTGGGGAAGTGTTATGGTCAAAATTCCTTGGATGATTTGAGTGCTAAGAGTAGGTGTCCGATTCTATCATATCGTGAGTATATGCCTTTGGCCTGGCAGGTAATGGACCATTATTCTGCTCTGTCAAGTGTCAATTCTCTTGAGGATATTTCTGCAACAACAAACCATATGTAGTCCCAACTATGTTGGGTTATGGGGGTCATGATATACGTAGCCTTATCCTTATTAAAAAAAGATGGATTTTTTTGTTAGACCATTGATCCGTTGCTGCATTTACTTCGCAAAACTTGATAAAAAGTAAGAAGAAATGTGTGCCATTATTTTTCCAAAACTAAAACCTTGCAATAATGAGTCTTTTAGCTCTACTTGCGATAGACACATAAAAAATAAGTCAGAATGCGTTGCTCTGTTGAGCATGGTCCCGCGAATCTAGGTCAACACTCTTAATAAATGAATCCTCCCGTACACATGTCGGGAAATATATTATTTTACTGAAGGACTAATTAAGTTCTCATTTATTTTGCTCGTTTGCAATTTGTCTTGCTTGGCTAGTCTTTCAGAGGTCCATATTAGTAAATGGAGAGTGTGTCTTGATATGGGCTTGGACTTATCTGGATACAAAATATTTTCCTTGAATTACATAAAATTAAAGTGATAAGAGCTTTCATATCTCAAAGTATGCATTACATGTTGTTGTGTTTGGTTTGCAAATCCTTCTTGCCTTCTGTTGTGAAATTAACAGGACTCACCATCTGGTAGGCCGTAGGAGGCCTACAACCTCTTCTGAGTAGGTGGAAGTAATGCATTCATAACAAGATGGATAATTTGAGAAAAATAATCAATTGTTGTTTGGTGTGTTGAGGATTGCATGACACTCCTATTTTTAAGTAGAGCCCCAATTAGACCCGGGTCATTCGGTTAATCGGTTTGTGTCTGTTTTGGGTGTATGTTATAACAAGTTCAGGTCATTTTGGTTCTTTTCAGGTGCATGTTTAATTCGGTTCTCTACATTTTTTAGTTTGATTCGGTTAGGGGTTGTAATATAATCGGTTTGGGTGCATACCTGTTTAGGTAGATATCAGTTCAGGTACATAACGGTTCGAATTTCGAGTAGATATAAGTTATGGTAAATTTTGGTTCGGGTATATTTTGGTTCGGATAACTATCAGTGTGGACTTCCTATTCCTTTTTTAGATATAACTAAATGGTTCACATCATCTCTTTATCCTCTTCATAACTCACAATCACAATTTTTTTGAACTTCAAAATGAGTCATGATCCGAATTTTGGGGTTGACCAGTTTTGGGTTTGATCTGTTTTGTGTTTGATAGGTTTTGAGTTTGATCAGTTTTGGGCATGGTCTATTTGGCCTTTTTGTCTGATCGATTCTGGATCCAATTCGGGTTTGATTCAATTTATTTTAGTTCCAGTTCTGGTCATCTCGGGTTTTGGTTATAGAACGGGTATCTTTTTTTTTGGGGTCATTTGGGGTTTGGGTTATTCAGTTCATGACCCAGATGGCTGGGTCTGTTTTTCAGGACTAATCCCAATGACTCATATGCATTCTTATGTGGGTCGTGGGCAACCCATCTCCTTCACATGTTGTGATTTTTTCCCTTTAATCACCATGCTGTATTTATTCATCTCTTTAACCCATCTCTTCGAGCTTTTTGGAACATTGTGTTTCTTAGCAAGATTTGGTTTTGTATGGAACTGAAGCTGATTATCCTGAAATGCTATAACTTATGTTTTTTGGCAGTCCTTTGTTTCTCACAGGATACTTGTGTGCCCTTCAGGTGTGCATAAAATATTTGGATCTTAACAATTTCTTGCTCTGTCAATTGCCTTTGTTATGGTATGAAAATGAATCTTACAGCGGTCTAATATTATGCCACAGATGATCCTTGTGAGATTAAAAACCAATCCACTTATTTCACAGAGTGGGAGTTACCCTCGCTAAGTAAATCAGAAAAGTTTTTGATCAATGATGTATGAAGATTTTTTTAATGCAATAAATACCTCTTTGTACTATCATTATCTGACTACACAATTTGTCACGGTGTCTATATTATGCAGGACGGTGTATTTGCTATATGATCATATGCATCCTGGATTCCTGGTTGCTTGAATGTGATCCTGGTGTAGTGCATAATTAGTCTGTAATGTAAGACAAGTTAATTCATAGTTATCTCTAGATAACACACGCACACACTCATGCGTACATTCATTGCAATGTTGTTGATGTAGGGATCTGTATTCCTACCATCTTTTTACTTGATAATCGCGGCCTCAGTGTTGAAGAAGAACATGTGGTGAGTTTCATAATGCCTCATTCCTGTTGATTTGTTTGCTATTAGTTTTCTTGTTGTATTGTTGACTGTTTTGTGTGCGGAATATATGATGTTCCTTGCCTCTTTACTGATCCTGTCTGCTTTTTATGGCCTTAAGCCCTTAACCTTCAAGTCTTCAAGCTTTCATTTTCATTAAAATAACTGACATCCCACAACGGCCATGTGATGCTTATAACGACATGAGTTGCCAACATCCCATAATGGTCATATATTGCCTATAACGACATGTGTTGGTTTTTTTTGCTTGCAATAAATTATTAACAACAACAACAACAAAAACCCAGTTAAATCCCACAAGAGTAGGGTCTGGGGAGGGTGTGTGTACGCAGACCTTGCCCCTACTCGAAAGTAGAGAGGCTGTTTCCAAAGAGACCCCCGGCTCAACGTCGAAAGTTGCATTGCTTGACTAACTGCTACTTCATTAATTAAAGAAGCGCAAATAGTTTAGATATCCATTTTGATTTATTCCATCACACCCCAAAGCCAAAAACAGATGAAATTTTGGCTNACAACAACAACAAAAACCCAGTTAAATCCCACAAGAGTAGGGTCTGGGGAGGGTGTGTGTACGCAGACCTTGCCCCTACTCGAAAGTAGAGAGGCTGTTTCCAAAGAGACCCCCGGCTCAACGTCGAAAGTTGCATTGCTTGACTAACTGCTACTTCATTAATTAAAGAAGCGCAAATAGTTTAGATATCCATTTTGATTTATTCCATCACACCCCAAAGCCAAAAACAGATGAAATTTTGGCTCGTTAATCCATTCATGCGCGTCACTAATTAGATGACGAGGCATTTGGCTACCTTAAGAGAGTCATAGAGTAAATTATTAAGTAAAAGAAATTAATTTTTTCGGGTTAAAAAATAGAGTAAATTCCATAATTTGTCCTTTATAATAGAGGGTTATCCATATTTAGTCCATAGTTGTTGGTTTCTACATTAACATTACCCAAAAAGGATCCATCTCATGTCATCCAGATATTCCCTTTTTTTTTAATTGAGAAGTTTTTCCTTTTTTTTACTTCATAATTTTTACGCCAAAAAACTCAAGTGCATTTTGTCTTGAACTTTATGTCGATTGTGCATCATTTTTTAAATTCAATCTTTCCTATATTACTTCTTTTATAATTTTCGGGCCTTTTGGTGCTGAGTTTTAAGCATCCAAGTTTTATTTTGATTTGGTGAGATACTAGTAAGCAATATGCTTTAAATATCTTCAAAGTATTTAATGTAAGCACCAAATATATAAGAGGATGCACAGAGAAACATATTTTCTAGAGTAGGCACAGTACTGAAATTAAGTCCAATTGGACGGGAGGGTATATCATTTATAAAAGTGTAATGCTAAAAACCCACCACTTATGCCTCTACGCATGTTAATACACGCGATTTTATACTTGCACGCGAAAATTAGGCATAAAAGTCTCGCTGCAGCGTCTTGAAAGGAGTGGAAGTACTCCTTCCGTCCCAGTGTATTTGTCCAGTTTAACTTTTTTGAGTCAAACTAGACAAACTTTGAGCTTCAATTAATTAAAAATTGTAATGTATTTTAACATAAAAATGACTTTATTAGATTTATCATATTGAAAACTTTCAAAATTGAATTTTATTATGCTAATATGCAATATAAATTGAGAGTAATTGGAGTTCAAAGTTTGTCCAATTTGACCTGAAAAAGTCAAACTGGACAAATAAATTGGGACGGAGGTAGTATATTGTAAAAGTTGTTGGCATTCATCTCTCCTACAGTCCGAGGACTAGTAGTAATGGTATAGACTTTGTTCTTTTTATTATTATTTATTTTTAGCTAAAATTTAGTTCAGCTCAATACTTTAGGCGAACTTTTCTTAATTGAAATTAAAATTTAGTTTTAATCAAGTAAATTTCGATTTAAAAAAGAGAGTAATTGTAGAGAAAAAGTAACACTGAAAATAAGTTGTACGAAGTATAGAAATACTCTGTAAGACTGTCTGCAACGCTGAGAGCTGCTCTTCTCACATACAGGTCTACTCAGCATGCCGCATCAACTTTTTACTCTGACTTCCCAGAAACGCTTTTTACCTTCAACACTACCATATCTATTCTTCCCACATGCACCCTTGTTAATTCCACATCACCATCGTTGCACAAACATTGTCGCACGCCTAGCAAATGCTGGCCACAGGCAGGAAGGACGTGTGTGTCTTGACAACGAATTTAGTCTTATGAGTATTTCTTAGGGTGTTGTATCTATCTCATTTTGGCTAAATGTACTTTATTTATACCCTGTATTTAATAGATAGTTTTGTCTTATTTGTACACTAATAACTCATTCTGCCTATAAAATTGACTTGCCTATTTTGAAGGGTAAAATCATTAGTTTATCATAAACAACATAGATTTAGCCAAAACGAGCGTAGTATAACTATATAGCAACACTTTTTTCTCCGTATTATAGCATTGATCCTCGGGGTTCTAGAGCCACACTTTGAGTAGTTCCTGATGACCCCTGCTCAAATTGGAGCACCTATAGTGCTCTAATCGTAAAATGAATGGTTCCTACCTTCAACCATTGGTAAACCCCTGCCTCGTCCCAACTCGAACATACCCTTTTAAATTGTATCATTTAAATTTTGTTGACTTTAAAGTTAAGAAGTTTGATCATAAAGTAAACTAAATTTAGGGGGTGGAATTGAAGGCGGGAGTGAGGTCAATTTGAGTCGAGTCGGGCCAAGGTATGAGGGTAAGAACGACCATTTTTTACGAATGAAATAATGTAAATGCCCCAAAAAGACAGTGACATTGCTGCCAACAAGAGTCATTAGCTCTGGAATTGTTTTGAGATCAGAAGAAATACGACCAAATATAAAACTTCTAATCTTTGAGGTCTTGTATTCTTGAGTCTTTATTTCCTTGACTTTGTCTGATCTTTTTTCATGACCAAGTCTTAAATGTCCATCAAAGTCATGTCCACGGTGTTTGGTCGATAATTTAAACCTACACAATGATCAAATTAGCGTTATTAGTTCAATGCTTACGTAAATGCATATTCAAACAGCTAAAATTTATTTATAAGAGAAAAGTTTTTTTGTGTGTATAAGGAGAGAATTCATCATTCTATTTACATCTCAGAAAAGATCCAAATATTTCCCAAAGACATCAGCTTGAGTGCCACTGAAGAATTCTAAAACAAGTACTGGATTTATTAAAATTAACTACCTGGCGAGACAGTTGTTAATAACTCAGATCATTCAAAGGACTTCTTCAACTTCTTCCTTAGTAGCCTTCATAAAAAGAAGGTTGTCCTTCGCGAAAAGGAGATGATGATTAATAAAAGGGAGACCTCGCGCCACACAAATGCAATGCACCAAACCCTTCCATTTTGCATTTTGTGAAAGGAAGGACAAACCTTTTGCACAAAGAATAAAAAGATATGGACTAATTAAGCACATCACCTTGCCTAAGTGATACGTGCCCGACGGAACCCTAGTCACCCAACAAAGAAGTCGGCTCATGCAGGGTTTGCAACGGTAGAGGATTAGGGTAAAGGGAAGAGAGAGAGAGAGAGAGAGAGAGAGAGAGAGTTTAGGGAAAAGATTGTTTCTTCTTAATTAAAAGTGCTTGGGAAGGCTATATTTATAGGCGAAAGAGATCCGTGTCCTAAATAAACTATGTTTTCTATCTTGACGCTTCAAAAAAAGCGACGAGTTAAAGAAGCGTAAAGAACCCCTCGAAGGAGCTTATAATTTGCTCACCTAATAAAATCTACGTATAATATATAAATAAATCGACAAAGAAATAATGTTGCTAAACACAATCATCATATCGCTTGGGTGGCCCAACATTTTGACGTGGCTGACTCGTTGTAGTGGATATCGTAGTTGGCTCGTGAACCTTGATTTCTTCTACGATTGGACGAGTATCACTAAGTCCATAGGCAGAATCGAATAATAAGATCGGAGAGATCCCCATTATTAACCAACACTCGAGGAGACAATTGGTTCTCGAGATGGATGGTAACTAGAGCAGCATAGCAGACAGATTACAACAAATTCAGGGGCCTCGTGAGGATGTTTCACCTCGGTGAGTGGCGATGCGTTGTTTCTTTGATGCATGGTTGTTTTCGACAGAGAACTACAGCTCCTTTGGGTGCGTTCTTTTCTCTCCTGGTAGCATCTTCAAGGCTGCGACAAATGGGAGGATTGCTGGTTCGTTCCTTTGATGGTCTAGCCAGTTGCTTGCAAAGAGGATTTGTCTTGGTTGAAAGCTTGAGGGGTGCAAGATGTTGAAGTTTTTTATGATTGGAGATCTTGGTTCGTGGATTGAAGCAAGAATGAAAATTTGCTTGTTCTTCCTATTTGGGGTCTATCTTTGAGGATTGTTTTGAGTTGATAAATTTCTTCGTTTTTGTTTTTTTTTTCCTTCAATTTTGTTCGTCGAACATTCAATACGGTGGCCAATATTTTGGCTAGACATATTGTTGCTCAGTCAGCCTTATAGGGTGCTTGTCCACCAAGTTTTGTCTCACATTTGATTTCGTCCACATATAATATATAATAAAAAATAATGTAACAATTTTGGTCAATCATTTAAGTTATGACTAATGTCAATAAATATTTGTTTAAGATTCATCAACAATTCAAATATGAACCCTAAAGAAATCATTCAAATATGAATATGAATCAAATACAAATAGAAATTCAATTTATTTTTTTCAAAAATGGATTGTTATTCTCATTCAAAGAATTAAACAAATCCTACATCCGTCCAAAAAATATTTTTAGTTATAATGTAAATTTAATATAGTTGGGTTATTTTCCAATGTAGAAGAGTAACACATATTTATATAAAATTATATTTCCTTCACCCTTTAAAAGTCATTACACTTTCTATTTTTTGGACATTTCAAATAAAACTTTACACTTTATTTCCTATTTTATCAATGAACATGTTGCTAGCAATAGTTTTTAAAATTTTGTGAAGGTAAATTATCAGGAATTTTATGTAATAGAGTGCATATGAATTTTTTTTTGTGGAGGGTGGGCATGATCTGTGACAGGCCATGATATTACTTGAACCCATCAAGGATCACACTTTTTAAAAGAGTATGTGATCAACCTCTAAGCCGTTTGTAATTTTTCTATTTTGAAACAGAACGGTATAATATCATATCATGCTAAAATCTTATAGAAAAACTAAACATATATTTCCTTCATCCCGTTAAACATTTCCTGTTTTGACTTTTGGGAGAGAAAATTGTATAAGTTTGATCAAGGAGAAACAATGCAAATTGAAACGAGTAGGGCTTGGGAAATATCAAAATGAGTAGGGCGTAGAAGGTAATTGAGGTATGATCAGTTAGATTTTAGAAATGTAAAAGCAATTGTGCCCATTTAGCCCAAAGTAAAATATTTTATGGGACAAGTAAGATATGAAGGTTGAAAAATTTTAAGGGACGGAGGAAGTATAATTCAAATTTAATGGAAGAAAGAAATATCACTAGATCCAGTGGGCAAACTTATTGAATCAAAAGAAGTGTGGAGGCTTGCGCTTAAGGCTGCATCCCGTTCGCTTGATCTGATATGATTTTTTGAAGTTTTGATCTAGTTTGTTTTGATATGATCTGATATGATTAGATCTGTTCTAATCTGATATGATCTTGTTTGATTGGATTTGAAATGATATAAATTTAATTTAAATTAAAATATTATTATAATAATTATAATAATAGTAATTATAGTAAAATAAATACTAATAATATTAGTTAATAATAATATTAATAGTAGTAGTAATAATAATAGTAATAAGAATAACAATAATAATAATAACATTAGTAATAATAATATAAAAAATAATTATACTAATAATAATAGAAAGATTAATAATAATAATAATAATAATAATAGTTACAATATTAATAGTAATCTTAATAATAATAGTAATAGTAATAATAGTAATAATAAAAATGCTAATAATAATATATAATAGTAGTAATAATAATTGAAATAATAATAGTAATAGTAACAATAACAATAATAATTAGGATAATAACAATAATAGTAAGAATAATAATAATAATAGTAATAATAATAATAACAATAGTAATAATAATTATAATAATAGCAATAGTAATAATAATAATAATAATAGTGATAATAATAGTAGTGATATATATAAATACACACACACACACATACATACATACATACATACATACATACATACATACATACATACATACATATATATATATACACACACACACACACACACACACACACATACACATACATTTTTCAAAGTAAATAAAAAGTTTTATAAAATATGAAGTGTCTTCATTTGTTCACATATTTCGTCTAATATATTCTAAAAATATTCAAATGTACGACACGTACAGTGTATTTGTATCAATTGTATTTAAAAAAGTTTTGAATTTTAGTTATAACATCATATTTTTCAAAGTTTTAACAAAAAAAAGAAACGGTTTCATACATATTTGTTGCTTTAATTATAGAATATGTACTACTTGAAATAAATATGTAACAAAAAGCATTTATGCTTATTTGGTGGATATCCTTACATAAATAGAAAAGGGTGTTTCGTTTCAACCCTAGTCATGGAAACATTTTAAGTCAATTTTTGATTAAAAAACTGGTTTGGCCAGTTGAACCCACCCGTTTTTACCAGTTCGCACCGGTTTGGACTGGTTCATAGCGTGTAGTTAGGTCTGTCAATGGGTCGGGTTCAGGCCGATCCATAGTGTTCTATTCCCGTACCTGTTTTAAAAAAATTAATCCTGACCCGTACCCATTTACCCGACGGGTCTTGAAGTTTAATCCTATATTTGAATCCATTGGGTCTCGGTATCGGGTCGGGTATGCCTGTGATAAAAGTTGACGTCTTTTATTTTTCTATAATTAAAAAACAATTAGTGAAATACTAAGAATGAAAAACACTTTAATTAAATACAAATAAAAATAAGACCAATACATTAGTGGAACAAAAATTGGCCTTTTTCACAAAAAAAATTAGATTCATAATCGATCTTCTTGTCACATTCATTCATGTTGCAAGTGTAACACCCCAAATCATACCCTAAAATTTTTAATGAAAAATTATTCAATTAATCAAATTTGTTTTGATTAAAAGAAATTATTGTTGGGCTTTGGGCCAAAATAAAATATGTTTTGATACCCAATATCACAATCTGGATAAATCTTATAGAGATAAATCCAATATGTTGACTTTATTGTGTGACCTTGATTGGAGAACCAAAGTACACATTCAAATCAAGGATAAATGAAGAAATTGTTA